AACGTGTCTGGAATCAAGCAATATATTTGCTGTAGCCATAACAATCAGAGCCTAACATCATAAAAGGAGGGAGGGTGGCGCATGCTGATCAGTAGATATGGTGGTGGACACTAAGGTGAATCGCCCCATTCTGCAGGAACAGCAATATGCAATTTGATGGCTCGAGATTTCTATGAGGGCTTGAATCTTTATCTTGAATAAGATAATAATGATCGCCTGGACAGATCATGCTTATACCTTTAAACATATACCATTCGGTCAGCCTATTGCTGAGATGCGACCAAGTGGGCTCTGCACAGATTTATGGGGCATCTTATAAATTGACATGCTTTCCTTTGTCGTATCTTCGAATATCACTTAACAATGTCTCATCTCATACATTTTCTAATAACGTCTTCACTTGCTCATTATATTCCACTAAACCTAACATTTTATAGCTCTTTATGAATTTGATTCGACTTATTTTATTCCTATTCTCTATAGGGTACGGTTGTGCACCAAACACAAAAAGGTATGAAATTAAAACAACCGGCTTGTGGATAATTGTAATAAACCAAAAGTGGACAACATGATAGTAAAACCTATAGGGTAGCATTATACATTGCAAAGGAACTTTGTCAACCTAGGGATTATAGTCTCCCATTGTATTTCCTTTATGAATGCATATATTAATGATACATTGCATTTACCTATTTCATTACACTTTAATGATTCACCTTTGCACCTTTACTTTTCTAAAACAGCTTACTAACCCTTGTAAACGTTGTACTTACCTCAATATTGGTTGGTTATCGTATGCCTACAACTACGGGTTGAAAACGAAATGAAGTCGAGTTTCCTGCGCAACCTAGAGGACTGCTGTTTAATTCAATAATGATACGACATGGGTCAGAAAAAGAGTGTATTTATACATATATCAAATATTTAGCTGTTCAAACATTACTAACTTGTAGACAATCTGCTATTTGACATTGTATCATACTTGATCGTGCCTGTAAAAATGGCATGCATTTTCATGTAAATTTATGTTTATATGAAAATATAAACTATTATTATTATCTACTGAGATGCAATTTCACCCAGATCACGTATTTCAGTACTGTCTGGATAATGGATTAATAGCACGTACTCGGATATGTACTTGTGGTGCTTCTTTGAAACTGCAGACGTATACGCAGGTCATTGGGATATTGGGTGGGAGGAGTGCGTGTTATCGTTCACATCGACGAAACAGTGCTGATAAAGAAGAAATACAATCGTGGTCGTGCTAGAGCGAACAGCGTTTGGGTATTGGGAATTTATGACACCCAAATTCACAAAGGATTCATTGAACTGGTTCCAGACAGGAGTGCGGGCACTCTTCTGCCTATTATTCAGAGACTTCTTTTGCCTGACACTACTATACACACCGATGAATGGGCGGGATATAACCAATTATCGCAATTGGGATATATACATCATAGAGTCAACCATTCGAATGATTTCGTTGACCCTGTCACCGGAACCCATACTAATTCCATCGAAGGTTTCTGGGGAAGACTGAAAAATTGAATCCGAGCTATCAATAGATCACAAAACGAAGTTATTTTCAGTCATTTGGATGAATATATGTATAGAAATTGGTTTAATTTCAAAACTGAAACTCCTCTTAATAACTGGAACATTTTTATCTCATATGAGAGTAAAGCACCCTGTTTGAATTTTTTATGCTTGTTTGTGTAAAAATACGTAAACTTTTATGCAAAAATCATCCTTTTTCTGATTGGTCGGCTCAAGGTCGTTTGTGCATTCGCATTCCTTGGGACTCTATTGTAGAACTTTGCCCAGCATCCTTGATGAAATCCACTGTCACCATAACAAGACGCTGTACAACATCTTATACAAGCACTGTCAATGATCTAAAATGGCTTACATATAGCTTTCTACGTGTTTATCAACTTACTCGTACGGAACAACCATGCAGTGACAAATAGCGGGCTCTGGGTGACCTGGGTGCAGTAAAACAAATCTGCTTGACAATGACCAATATTAATCTGCATTCAGTTGAATTCACATCTGGTATTACTTGCAATAAAAATGATGTCAAAATCATACAAATAAATCACTCATTTTAAATTGATACCCAATTTGAACATAAAACAAGACCAAGACACGATGCCACACACAACAAAGTTATATGGAGGAATTGACTTCAAGCTTTATATTTTTCCCAAATATTTGTAATTTATCCGACACATACTTGGGTTTTTTGTTAATGCGAAGACAATATTTCTATATTTCTTAATGTGCTCCATTGAACGACTACCTATCAGATTGTACTCACTAACTAATGTCAGAGAGGACAGCAACCATGTAATTTCACTATAAATCAAATTCATGTAATGTAAATAATACTTATCCATGCCTGTACAACTGGTGTATCCTACATAGATGGGAAATATATATCTCTTGTTACCTCTGAATGTGGCCTAGCTCTCTTGCCATGGGAAAGGTAGTCAAACGAAAGAGGTTTTCCCAAAACCCGTGGTGCGCGTGGAGTAACATGATATGATACCCTTCTTGATCACTATTTTCAACATTTTGCTTGTGTTTCTAGCAAGCTTAATGGATTACCGTCTCATCTTTTTGATCACGCAATAACACTCCTTCAGCCAGCTTTCTGAGCTGCTTTGATACCGCAAGAGCCATGAGATTTGAACATATGTTGACTGAACCTATGCTTTTTTCTTATGGCGCCGACAGAGATGATGCCACCTACGATGATGACCTCTGTATGAAGACCCTGACCGATAATTTACCGCTCACGCTTAGTCCCAGTCCTCCTTGAATATGTCTTTGTCGAAAAGAAAATTTATTTCGCTGCAACCGTCTTTCAAAAATTTCCTTGATACAGAGTTCCATGTGAGAAAATGATTCCTTGCAGCACCCTACTGATGTTCGAGTCAGATGAATTTCCGATCTCATTCATGACCGATCGTTCACTTTGTGGGTGCAGAACATAGAATTATGGTGGCTGCGCTTGTGTCTTAACAGACCGTGAACCTTGCCTATGGGAAGAGATATTTTCACGCTTTAGTGACAGCCTGTGCAATGAAAGTTTGAGTTATGTGGCTGAATAGTTGCTTGAAATAAATTCGTGTAGCCTAAACATGAGCTTCCAGTGTTATATTTCAGTCTACTATCGCGATGCAGAGGCAACAACATTTATGTTTACTTTCCAAACTTTCGGCTGGGCTATAATTTATTCCTGAAAACTGCAGCAGCATTGAGCTCCAGTCTGATGATTTCTTCTGGAAGTGGAAAATGTTGGCTGAGAGACCCGTGCGTGACATAAGATAAGCCAAGTCTATGAAGTACTGAGAATCCCAAAGTGTTGACTCTACTACATGCTGGGTTAGGGCAAGTGATGTAAACGTTCTCCTTAAGTTATGGTCGAAAGTACTGTTGGACAGTTTTCTCGTGTGATATTTTCAAGTGACTGGTGGATAATTGAAACTAACGACTAATATGCACCCATGCTTTGATGTCCTTAGAGCGAATTCATTTAACTGAACGTCACAACCCTCACAGACTCGAGTAGCATACACTATGATGAAATCGTTGGCTCGTTCTTTGCCTTTCCATCAGGGAAGTATGGGTTTATATAATAAACTTTCGTGTGCAAATCCTTCTGTGTAATTAGATAATCCCCCTCCCTTGTGGCTTAATCCGCCCGTTTTAGGAAAGAGTGGGCAAGTCAACTTCTATGTTTATGATATAATATATATTTATTCCTATCTATGTAGGACACACTAGTTGTACAGGCATGGATCTATGGTGCCAGTGATGATTCTGGTCACGCATTTGTTTGTCAGACAGCGCGTAGCATTCTATAAGCGCTATGAGCTCTCCAGCTACTGATGTTTGAGGGTCACCAAACTTCGAAGTTCTCACCACTCAATAACTTTTATTTATACGATCTCACTCTACGTTTCTGCATCGTTTGATGTGGTCTGATAGGCACAGGCCTTCCTGGGTGTGGATTCTCCTATCTCCAAGAATATGAACATTGTCATTGCAGCTGTCTTGACCTTGGAGTTCACAGACTTTGGGAAGATAAGCCTAATGACTTATTCTAGAGCCAGTCTTTTCCCTGATTCTCTGCGAAATTTGAGTAGCAATGCTTACCAGTACCACAGGAAGCAACTTTTCAACAGTGAGTCTAAAAAGTCCGAGTACGTAACCGATCTTGGTCACAAAGTTGGGTTCACTTCATTCTTTCGCTTTACTGAAAGGGAGTAACCCATTGTGGAAGTTAGGTTTACTGTGGCTGGCGCTCTTGCTACGAGATCTTTACTACACTGTAGCCTTCACACTGCATTTAGCATCAAAATAGCGTCATGCCTTTGAGCAACTAATGTGAAGCGGGTGTGCAGTGATGCTTGCATAGCGCAGGACTCAGGTTGGTGCACTTCATGCAGAACCGCCAGTTACGATCACTACACAACATGCTGTCATCCGAAGTACACGACAGACCTCTTCGTGGTCAACCGTTCAGCAAACATGATGTCACTGAAAAAGGAAATGATAGCTGTGGAATAAAAAAGTCAATGAACAACCATGTAAAGAAGGAGTTACTAAAAAAACGAAAATGAAACCCGAAATACAAAGATACAAGGTTAACAAAAAAATGCTGTAAGAAATCCTGTGAAAAAATCGACTGATAAAAATGACAACAGGTGAAACATTTATAGGTTTTTGTAGTCAGTAACTCAAGAAATGCTAGAACTGAACAACACAGTGTGAAAATACACCCTTCTTTTGAAGTTTTAGATACAGATGTACTATGCACTTTTGAAGAAATACTTTACAAATGTCGCTGTACCTATTTGTCCTAAGCTCCAGTGGTCTTGTTTAATTGTTCCTAATTCTGCTTCACCTTGAGAGTTCATTTTTGGACCCAGGTATCGACCGCAAATGCTACTACCGCTGGGTTTGAATTTTCTTTGATTTTTCATGATATGAGTAGCGTGCAATGTGTTGATCAGAAAAGCAGGTAAGTGTACATATCTTACTTTTGATGACATATTTTTAGTGGTAGTGACAGTAGCAGTACTGGAGAAGAAGAGAGGCTTAAACAACTGTTTTTAAGCTGTGATTCTAATAATGATGGATGTTTGAATTGTGAAGACTTATATGACATGTGTAGGAAACTGAATATGGCAGAATGCGCCGAGGAAATTATCAACACCTTAGGTGCAAATACAAAGGGAAACATAACATTCGATGAGTTTCTCAGTTGCCGAGAAAAGGTGTTTCGAATGCAAACTGAAGCTGATACAATGTATTTTACAAAGCCTAACTCGACGCAACATCAAAACTTCAAACAGTGTGGAACAAACTGGCCTACTTACACACACGATAGGTCACTTGGGAGAAATCAAAAATGTGTTGATGAAAGAAGTAGTAACTCTTTTCATAAATTGCATGAGAATACTAATCTCGGAAGTTCTGCCAGTGAGACCAGTCTTGGCAACTCAGGTAGGTATTTTAACTGTTCAGGAACTTCATGCACATCCAAGTGCTAGTTTTTTAGTCCAATAGTCAAATGTATCGTAGCTTAAGTTTATAATAATTATTATGGGTTTTCATATAGAGATGTATTTCTTATATTCTAACTTTAAGCTGTGGTTAGCTTCTCTAAAAATGTAGCACAAAAGGTTTAAACTCTAGATTTCATTCGTACAATTGTTTTGAAGTCATGAAGTGATTTCTTATGCTTGTCATTTTCATAATCTTTTGGGATTCTGGAATATCTAGTAGTTATCACTACTATAATAGTTTTCCATAATCTTGAACTATTCAATAAATCAAACATCTACTTCATTCATTCTCGATAAACAGGAGCACCTTATCTTCAAGAGAATAATGCACGAAAATTATATTCGGTTATCGGATGTTAGACCAAGTGTCTAACTATTTGAAATACAATTCATTTAATGCTGGGACTATATGATTATAGTTTAAATCCTGCTCCATATTAGAGATTAACTAGTTTGCATGTTATGTCTCGCGAAAGCACTAATCTTAGGATGCATGTAAAGTCATTATTGTGTGAAAATATTTTAATTTCTTTCTAGTCATACTGTTGAGGTCATCTACGAGTCTTACGCCAAAAATATTATCCAACTAGGTTTTTTATTTACGTGATGCTTTTGGCTAATTTTCTTATTTCGTAGGAAATTTCTAAATGTCTGAATAGTTTTAAATGCATTAAAGATACAGTTACATATTATGTTCCTGCAATCTGTAATCAGCCATTAAAACTACAAATCTTAAAGAGTAAGTTTTACTAATATGGTTCATATAATATCTGTCACTCTTGAACTGATGTTCGCAAAATTTACCTCCAAGTGCATATGAACTACGATTAATGTTATTAATACTAGCTCCCTGGAACTACCTACCACTTGTCTAAACAGCCTTTTGAAAAAAATATCTGTTGAATTTGGAAACCTGAATCTAACGACAAAACTTAGCTCTATTGGTACAGTCTAGCTTTCTTGGTACAACGGGAATTCAAGATACACTACACAGTTGTCTAAATGTCCATATCTCAAGTAGAGTTTAAAGTATTGAACCAATGGTTCAACTCATGTACTAACTATAGTACTAAACGTCTTATTCCCTTAAGTTTAGAATAAAACTTTTTGTCGTAGGACTAATAGCTTGGTAAAGCTACAAGTAATTTAGTATTTCTCATACTTTAAACTACAGCTTAAGTATAATGTACAGTAAGTATGATGTTTTGTTTAAGTTCAGTTACCTGAAACAGATTTTTCATGTACCACGCTAATAGCCTCACTTATCGTATGAGAGATGATGACACTACTCAATAGGTGGAGCGGGACTCAAACGCGTGATACATCAACTGAAATAGGAGTGCTTAGGCCAATGAACCACATCTCTGCATAAGTCTACTATCATTTTTGTAAGTCCTTACTAGATTTTACACATCCGGTTGATTGATTGGTTAGTCAGAAGTTAGTTACGCTAAAACGATTTTCATTTGTCAGACAATGACCGTTGCTTGTTATCTTCAGTTGCCTAGACCAAAATAAATGGATTATTATTGCAACCCAGGGTCTGTTAACTGAAATTTAAGTGTTCAGGCTTACATCTTCGCTGGATTCTAAACATCCTATTTTGAATACTTACATTTTGTGTGTCCCTAAGTGTAGCGTCGGTGGCACAGAGGTTAGGACTCTCGCTGACCGTGCACATGGTCCAGGGTTCGATCCCTGGCCGACGTACTCCTTTACCTCGCCAAAACAGTAATAAAGATGGTAAAGAGGAAAGGTTAGGCGTGAGGCTAGCAACCCCATCCTGTAAAAATAAACACTGCTACAGAAACTTCAAGCCTCTAGCTCGAAGCCCTATGTTCCACTGGGAATGTGAAGGAATAAAAAAAGTGTATGAAGAGATTAAATGACGTTGGAAATTTTCTGCCTAATTTATCAACAGTTATAGGTTTACTAGCTAAAGTGTGTGATCAATTGTTTCTGCCTTTACTATTATCAAATAAATTCAGTGTTATGTATTAATTATTCTTTGAATTTTCCTCTTTTTTGTTGATATATTCAGGTGCTGAATATGATTCAGGAGCTCAAGATCTTTGTGGTGAACCACAAAGTTTACACTTATTACTGCAACGTGATTTTGCTGATTTATACAATGTTGTATTTCCATTTCTAAATAATACAAATCTTAATAATCCGTATAAAAGAGAAAGTCATACAATTCCAGATGATTCTATCTTATTACCTAAACCTAATACAATCGAAAATGGAGATGATAATATTAATAATAATACGACTAAAAATTATACAAATAAAGAATTGATAAATACAATAAATTTTCATTCAAAAGAAAAATTGAATAACCATGTTAAACCTGTAAAAATGGAATTATCTAATGTACAATTAACAAGTGAATCAAATCCTTATTTAATTCATGTTCGAAATTTATTTGAATGTGCTAATACACTACATATTCAACGAACAGCTCAATTACGTTCTGAAATCCGGGATTTATCACATAGATTACAAGGTTTACAGGTTAGTTGAAACTTTGAAAATATTCCATAGGTCAGATGATTGCGTTTTTGAAGTATTTGTACCCCTCTGGGATGTCTGATTTAATTAAGAAGCTTTCATTGTAATTTTAGACAGCATCTTCAGCACTTACCTCACTATGAAGTTTCCACCTCGATGTTATACAAAATAGCGTTTTTCATGTGAACAATTGTGAATTTAAGTTCCGTTTTGGAAGTGTAGGATTCTTTAAAAACAAGCAAGGTATAAACTATACCATAAAAGCTCTAAGAGTTGTGTAATTAGGCTATCAGTAAAATTTTCCGACTGTGGTAATATAGAATTCTATGCCAGTGAGTTCATTAGATATATCACACAGTGCGATAGTGTTATCCAGTATTTAGGATCCTGAACACAATTTAATGTTCATAATCACATTAAAAATAACTTAATAACTTCGAAAATCGGTCTTCACACTAATTCTTCCCCATTTTAGTTTCTTTTTTCATAAGGGTAGTTGAATTTTACAAATATGCACAGAAGGTATTAAATCATTCTTATTACGTGTAATCAACAGATATGATAAACAAATCTTCTGTCAGCCGTCTCTCCCACCACTCCCATATTATTATTTGACGTCAGTTAGGGAACCATTGGAAACCAGAGAATACTGGACATCCGACTGTTTCGTCCTAGTTTGAGACTCTTCAGTGATACACACTCACCAGCATTCGAACCCAGGACCCACCGGTTACAAGACGAGCTAGTAAACCATTTAGCCACTCGGTTTCAAGTGGGGCATATGGACTTCAGCAGTGCATCTCCATTTCACTCTGAGGTTAATTTTTAACTGGCTCCACGACCATTCACAAGCTTTCATTTCCTTCTCATATGATTTTTTCCATGTCACCCTAGGACGCATATTCACCACCTATTCTATGTTAAGCTTAAAAAAACCTAACAAGTCTGTCTTCATCAAGTGGGTTTGTACAGACTTTACATTGAAGTAAGCACTGAAGGTGATTCCTAGAAGGACAATTAGGACTTCACAATTCAATCATCCAGCTCATATAACCCAACCACATCAATAAAAATATCCAAATTTAATAGTAATCTTCACCACACTGGTATTTTATGGGATGCAATTTGTTAACCATTACTCTTTAATCCACAATAACTTTGTTGGCTATTTAACCCAGTTTTCATTATTTTATCCCCCATAAAACTGACTAAGAATTCGACTGAATGCATTAGATCAATATGTTGGCTTAATTATTAAGTGTTAAGTTCACAACCTATCCTACCTACTTTTATTTGTGAATTTGGATAGTGAGGAGGGCAAGTCATTCAATGAGGCTGTAAAGCTACATCGATTTAGATGACTAGGACATGTGTTACACATCCTGAGCTATAACCCTCCTCATCGAGCAGTGTTAGGTGGTTAAATCAAAACATGGGGTCATCCCATGGAGTTTTTGACTGTTGGTTTGAGCTACATACGGGGGTGTAGACACACTGTCTGTCTAAGGTCTTTGGGATTCTAAGAATCCATGGCTGCAGACTGGTGGTGATATGGTTCAAAATAGTTGTCAATGGTGCAGACAAATTTAATCGTTGTAGTCTCCAAGATCCACTAGGCCCTCATGTTTCTCCATGTGGTTACTCTTTCTTCCCTACATTCAGACTCATTACAATTCTTATGAATTATTCCTTCTCTATCCCTGTGTGCTATATAGAGTGTGGCATTTTGAGCTACTGCGTTTCTGTACAAATTTCTACTTGGAAAACTCAACATTGTATAGTATCATAGACTCTCACGCAATAAGTGTAATTCGTAGCCCTATATATATATATATATATATATATATATATATATATATAATAGTAATATACTATGTTTTATCTTTTGTCTTTCAACGTGTGATGATCCTAGGTAAAAGATTTGACAAGTTTGAAAATAATCATATGTTGATGCCATTGTTACATGACTGTTGTCTGGCGTTTTATCACTGGTTGGGAATAGGACTTAATGCATTATATTATTATTGGTAGTAACAGTAGTCGTTTGTTTCGAACTCACTTACGCGGAACAGATCATTCATGCACCAGACTAGAGGGCATACAATTCCCTTGTGACAGCTGATGACACTACCTAGCTGGAATGGTTAAATAGTATTCCAACTCGAGACCACCTACTGGCAGGTAGTCGAGTACTTAAGCCAACAAATGACATCTCTAGAAGGAGTAGTATCTCAGGTTCTTTTCGAGTGACTTAAACTTCATCGACGGGTAATGTTAGCTGACAAAGCGTCAGGTTGAAAAAAGGCCTAGTGGTGGCCAAACCAAAATATGGCTTCATCAGTCAACAAAATCCATAAGAGTTAGTTTAAGCCAGCCAGCCCTGTAGGGAGGTGTAGACTTCTGGCTGGTTGGAGTCCCCGAGATGATAAGAACCAATGAAGGCTGGACAAGACTGGTGCGTCGGTAGCGCAGCGGTTAGGACTCTCACCGACCATGCACATGGTCAGGGGTTCGATTCCCCGCTGACGCACACCTGATATCTATGGTCGGACTGCAGAATTTGGGCTACCGATATCACATACTGAGAATTCCATACTTGTACCAAGAATATGATGTGGAGTCAAGCTAAAAGTCGTCATTCTCAATGGCTGGCACAAATGCGTTCACTCTTTGTCATTTGTCATATCATCCAGTAAAATTCTATTGTTCTTCCTTATTACTATTCTTTTTCCCTCACTCCCACGTGTGTTTATGATCTTTTTTCTGAATCTCTGTTTACTCTCCTCTCTTGCTTTGTTTTCTACATGGAGGGGAAGTGATAACTAGAAATGGTGCACATCTGCGCAGAGTTCTATGTTGAAATCAGTCAGTCAGACCTAGACTTAAAGTAGCTCTGTGACGTGTTGCTTATTTTTGTTTACGTGTTCATATTTTCTAGGTTTAGTATCCACGACAAATCCTTCTTTTAACAATGTTAAATGAAGCCAATAGTGAATCTCATTAGTTGATAAGATTTGAAGTAACTGTTGGCATTATATTAAATTAACAGATTCCTAACATAAAGCGGTTGAAGCCTATTTAATTCAGTATTACTTATGGATTTATGAGTCAGTGGTTCAAAGGGTAGGATGCTCGTCAGCCAAGCGGGAAGTTAGGGTCTGATTCGTGGATGGTGCACCTAGTTTTCTAACCGGTTATAAGTCTGAAAAAGAGCAGAACTTGCGTGTGAGTATAGGCAATCTCACCCCTAAAAATAAAATACCACCTCTACAAAAAATTCAATGTTTGAATCGTGGATCTCTATGTTCCAGTTGGAACACACAAGAACTGGTATCTCTTTACAATTTACTCTCATATCTTCTTCTTTTTTTTTGGTTTGTTTGTTTAGACAAGTCGAGATATGAGTTATCGAGAAATTCAACGTTTACAAAAAGAGAAAGAACAATTACGCAATGAACTAACTAATCAAATTTCTCGTTATGAAGATCGTTTAACTGAATTACACAGTGTAATCGCTGAGTTACAACGTCGATTAAAGCATTCTGAATCAAATATTATTCATGAAGTTGAAGAATTTGAGGATAATGAAGTCGATGATGAGGAGGAGGAGCAAGAACAACAAGAAGAAGACGAAGAAGCAGATGCTGTGAATCGAAGTGAATCAGACAAAAAATTGTGTAAAAAACGATTAGATAATCATTCTAAACTATCAGTTAATAATTCAATAAATCAATATAATGAATCTAATATGAGTGAAATTAGTGATACATCTGTTGATGCAATTATGGATGACGATGATGAATGATGATAATGATGATGGTGTTGGTCCCGGGGGTGATGAAGCCGGTGGCGTTGGCGGTGATTCTCGCAGTAATGCATTGAATAAATACGGGGAAATTGGTAGAAAGTATCAAAATTCAACTCGACTTTCAAAAAATTTTCTCATGCATACTACTCGTGTTTATGATCAGTTGAATGGAAACTATAGTCTTTCAAATAAACCATTAACTTATCTATCCATGAATAAAGATGTTAACGGGAATAATATTTATAACAATAACAATATGTATATATCTAATAATAATAATAATGAAGTACCCAAAACCTCTGACCATGATCTTGTAAGTTATTTACATTTTCCTTTTGATATAATTCACGTAAAAGATATTATTATTATCATTTTGGGTTTCTAGAGGAACATAGGACTTCAGCTGACTGGTCTCAACATAGGACTTTTCCCAGATGTACACCATTTCGAGTTGGATCTCTCCCTCCATGTATCACACAAAGCAAGAGAAGAGAGTAAACAGAGATTCATCAAAAGAAAGATAATAAACAGAAGTGTGAGTGAGGGAAAAACAATTCCAGTTAAATGGAAGAACAATAGAATTTATTGGTGATTTAACAAATGACAAAGAGTGAATGCATTTGTGCCAGCCATTGAGAACAATGATTTTGGGTTATATCAACAATTGTTTGCAACCTTCGTTGGTTCGTACTATCTCGAGGACTCCAAACAGGGAGCCTACACCTCTCTAGGTGACTAAAACTAACCATTAAAGACTTCATGCAACTCTTTTCCAACCTGATCCTATATAAGTTAACATTTCCCGCCGAGGTAGGCGATGGCTCTGGGTGGGCAACACGTGTCCCAGCCATCTCATTCGATTCACCTTCACAATATCATCTATCGACTTACTCTCATTACTTAGTACTGTATGCTTAACCTCAATACGACTCATTTTGTCATACTATCTAACAATGGAGATAGATAGAAGTCAGACACCTATAATCAAGGGCAGCTAGTCGGCCTTTTCATGTCTTCCACTTTCAATGGCCATGTCTCGCTCATAGTCATAAAGGAGGAGGACGGAGCAAACTAATGGTGTGCAGTACACACGTCCTTTTGTTGATAGCCAGCCAGCCAGCTGGATATCACGTTTAGTAAACGAGAGATGGAGTAAATTGGCAGGTAAATGAAAAACGAGCCTTCTGTATCCATGCTGAGATTTCGTCAGCAATCAGTCTGTTGACGCTGGATAATTTAACTTCTGAAATAAAATTAGTGGTCGACACGCCCTACCACTTCACTGCTAATCTTTAGGTTCGGAGTCGATGTAGTCCAGATCTGTATCATCATCTTACGTTTGAGGCCTTCAGTAGCATATCACCATTTCATTCTGTTCTTCGAAGTCTTTTTTAGCTGACTCCGTGACTGCCTGCAAGCTTACATTTCCTCCTTACACGATTTCCATCATATAATCGCCGCGTATTCGGGTTCCACTCTATCGCTAGCCTGGTGCTCATGTCCAATCTGTCTTGATTTCCCTCTCCATTTTTTGTTGGACACTAGGTTCTTCGTTGGTTCCTTGACAGAATTTCCTACAGCTTATCCCTTCTTTTTTTGCTGTTCAGCATCGAATGAAGGAGGCAGGCACTGATGAAAGTCTTCAATGGCCTGTTGGAAACGTTTTCCGTGACACGTACATGTCAAGTCTATGAACTATATTAGAAGCAGTGACTTTATATTAGTGTTGCGAGTTCGGATCATGTTCCCTTATGCTGAAAGTAGTAGATTTCCTCACTGATTTTAGAGAAATGAAGGTATGTCTTGCCTCTCTGATCCTGGCTGGCTTTAGCATCCTGATCAGTGTCACTGCCTGGATTTGAAAATGTAATAGGTAGAACTGCAGAAACTGAACTCCCTTTTCATTGACTCTTGTACACAACAATAGAAACAATGCTAGATTTTGTATAAATCAAAAATAAATTTTAAAAAAGAAAAACACAATAAATGGAATATTTTAGAAAAATCTTTCTGTTGGATGTGATTTACAAACTTTTCCAGGTTGTCAATTCGTTTGTGATACTTTAAATTTGTTGTGTTACCCTAGTGATAAACGGATATCTATTTTTATTCAGCAAACAGATCGAAAACATTATGTTATTTGATTGATAATGTCATGCATTTCGTCCCATTCAAGGCTCGTCATATGGACGTACCTGCATCCTTCAAGAGTCTTGGTGAAAACACAATCATTCAGATAACACTGCATTAACCCGAGGGCTTCATCGAAGTGTCCAAATTAGGAACCAACATGTCAGTAGAGAATTAACTAATCGATAATTTCAATATACAATGGACTGTCATATCAAAATCAATACAGGAAGAATGTTTATCATTAGAATTTCCATTTTAGCCTAAAGTGTACTGGAAGAATATCATAACTCTTATCTCTCTTCTCACTCTGCTTACTATTTCTAATCCCTATACTCTCTGTGAAATATTTAAGTGTCCCAAAGATGATGTAGACGTAATCTGGCGTAGACGTGATATCCGACTATCGACCAAAGGGCGGGTGTACTGCTCAACAGTCCGCTCCATCCTCCTTTATGGCTGTGAGACCTGGCCATTGAGAGCAGAAGACATGAAAAGATTAGCTGTCTTCGATCACAAATGTCTGTGTTCTATCTCCCGTGTGAAGTGGTATAATAAGGTGAGCAATATTGAGGTTAGGCGTCGAGTGCTAGGTAAGGTGGGGAAATCAGTCGACGAGACTGTGAAATTACATCGACGGGGATAATAAGGACATGTGTTACGTATGCCTAGTCATCACCTTCCTCGACAATGGGCAATGTTATCTGATATAGGGTCAGGCTGAAAAAGAGCTAGCGGCGGTCAAACGAAAACATGGCACCAGTCAATGAAATCTACAACAGTTAGTCTATAGGCCACTTAGGAAGGTGTAGACTTCCTGGTTGGGGTCCTCGAGACGGCAAAACCAATGGTTGGAAACAATTGGTGACATATATATAAGGTCCCAGTGGCTCAATGGTTGTTTTATGAGTTCGCCTCGTAATCGCAGGGTCCTGGGTTCGAACCCCTGCGATGGATGCGTACTGATGGTGAGTCCCAGAGTAGGACGAAACATCTGTTTAGTACTCCCTGTTGGTTTTCCAATGGTTCTCTAGCTGATATCGACTCGTGACCAAACCTGTAACCAGTGGAATCCTTACAAACCAACATTTAACAGTTTGAAACATCGAATGACAACAAAGAAAGAAATTGTAGCAAACTAACCTGAGCACAAAACTACAACAAGCGAAGACGTCTTTTTAGATTAATGAGATTCTTTTTATTTTCAAAAACACTTAATAATGATTAAATTTTTCTGAAGTTTATTTAATAAAACAAAAATTATAATCGATAGGGAAAATTTGTCACTCCATATACTCAACTATACAGATAGGCGACTTGATACACGATAAAAGTCAATCTCACTCTGAAGTATGCATAGGAACAAATAAAATATTTTAAAAAAAATTAAAATTACACTTGATACACCTTAGTGTAATTGATTGATTTAGATTTATTGTCTATGAGAATATTTTTTACGTCTGTGAAGTGATACTTGAGTATGAGAGGAGGCATAGTTTACAAATTTTCATGCTAACATCAATGCCCTATTATACAAGGACACTGGAAATTTATTTCATTCTGCCTTGGGACTGACCCTTCAGCAGTGCGTAGCCACAACTCCCAAACACCGCTAGCAGCGATCGAGCTCAGACTCTTCAAGTTCTCAAGTGAGCTTGTAAATAATATCACTAAAAGTAGCTGGAGTTTAGGTTCGTATAGTTTAAACCCTTGGCTGACGGTGGTTCAGTTTGCAGTTCATTGGATTTCAATTCAGTGGCTGGCTGATTGGCTACCAGCAGGTTCACCTCATTACTTGAAGGTTATGGTCTCGATCTCTTGCGAGATAGTGGAGACGTGTTCACTCCTTTTAGCATTCGACTTCCAACCAATAAGGTCCTGGGTTCGAATCTCACTCCGTCTACTTCAACCTCCTATCGTATCATCATCCCTCATACAACAAGTGCGACTGATAGCCCGGTACTGGGTAACTCAGTTCGAACCAACCAGTCTTGTGGGATTGTGAGTATACACTCCTGGAAAGTCCCACACTGGGATAGAAAAAGCTGTCTGGGGCTCCTTGGTTCTCAGTAATTCGATAACTGTGATGTTGGTTCATCACTTCCTTTCTACATTATATAGTGACTGTGAACAGTTAACACGAATCTAAACAGACTGAAATAAGTTTGTAAGAACGATATTTATTCTTGTTCGTCTATGTTCGTCGGTGGCACAGTGGTTAGGACTATCGCCGACCATGCTCATGGTCCGGGGTTCGATCCCCTCCCGGCGCACACCCGATATCTATGGTCGGCCTGTAAATTTGGGCTACCGATATCCATGCTGAAAATTCCATACTTGTACTGAAAATACTGTTTGGAATCAAGCTGTAATCAAAAACAAAAAAATTATTTCTTCTACGATAATAATGATGGGTAACTACAAACTGGCAGGTGACCTTGAACTCACCAAACACATGAAAAAGACTATTTTTACGTATAAAATGCACATATTTATGAAAATAATTTATGAAAATGTTACACAGAATACCTTTTTGTGACAAAAATGACTCCCAGTTTTCCATAGGAGTATCGATAGCGAAGTTAAATCCCATTCTATACATCTGAATGGCTGTAAATAACACCCTTTTGTGAAATAATAGAGAAGATTTGTAGCTCAGGTGGATGATTTGCAATTAATAGTGTTCTCTGAGCTGGTTGGTTTAGTTGCGGAGCTTTTGTGATCCATTAATGGCTCTAATCCTGTTGTTCAACCTTCCTCTAAATCCTTCTATGGAATTGGTGTTGACCCTGTAATAGGATCGGCAAATTCATTAGTGTGGTTCACTCTATGGGAATATATCACAGGGATGACAACGAGTTATATCCTTTCCCCTTATCGGTGTGTATTATAGATACTCATTTCATCAATCGAGTGATAATGAGCATTAAAGTAGTTGACTTACCATCTGATATTCTCTCAGTGAATCCTTTCCGTAAAGTGGTATCATATAATTCGGTCATCTACGGGTTATTTGCTCTTTCACGACCTTGAGTTGTATTTTCTCTTTAATAAGACTTTAGAGTGTACCTTCTCCTCCCAAGATGCAACCAACATCTTTGCAGTGCAGGTACCAGTGAACTGTTGAAACGCGACTATTTTCTGTTACAGCAGCTGTAGCTATCACACAGTGTTTCATAACCC